AGTTACCCACAATAAACTTGGACCCAAACAAGCCACCAAACAGCACTTCCTGCACCTATGCATACGCTTTTATGGTATTTGCATTTCTAAGTTGCCCCTAGGATGGACTCCTAACTGCACCAATGTAAGAAACTATTTGAAATAAGACTTCCATTTTGGGTAGTGGTCTAGTAAGTTTTAAGTTCCCAAGACCTTCCTGGGAACTGATATCCTGGCAGAAAGAGACACGTATGTGGATAACTGACATCCTGGTTGGCAAGTTAAGACACGAATGCTAGACAAGTCCCATCCTGGCAGACAAGTTAAAACATGAATATTAACAAGGCAAGTCCCCTGCCATAGTTGAATACCCCAACCAACGGGATCAAGATAAGATAAAGACATGTTCCTAAGGAAATTCTCCTATCCCTAAATCCTGATTGATGAAATAACTTGGCACAGATACTTGTGGATTTTGGCTTCAAAACCCTGTAGAATTTTAACTCAGGGTTCAGTTCCTGAATCTGGGCCATGGCCTTGTTCAACCAGTCTTAGGTTGTATGTTCAATAAACTATCCCTGTTTGAGATAGGTGTCTGTGTGGCTTGTGAGTTGACTCCTGGACTCCAATATAAAGATGTCTCCCTAAGGGTTTTATGTCTATTTAGAAGTTGCAAGATTCTGAGTTTCCTTGAAAATAGTTGAACTAATAATACTAGCCTCCTGGCACAGGGTTACCAGTAGTTAAAAGTAATGGGACTCTTTCATCTTACTGGTATTTTTGTTGTAGTTGTTGGGTTTTTGTTTGTTTGTTTGTGTTTAGACCAAGAGTCTCTCTATTTAGCTAGCCTCCATCTCTTCTCTTATTCTCCAAATAGCTAGAACTGCAGGCATGAGCTACCATTGCTGACTTTAGTAGAGGATCTTATTCTTATGTGTTTCGTTTTGCTTTTTTAAAGATTTATCTGTTCTTAAATTTTATGTGTATATTCCTCCTTGAGTTTAGGTATGCCAATTGTGTGTAGTGCCCTTGGAGGCCAAAGGCATGTGTCAAATTTTCTGGAGCTAGAGATACAGCAGGTTGTGAGTCACTCAGTGGTGAGTGCGGAGGGATGATGCTAGGTTCTCCGTAGGAGCAGTAAGCACTCCCACTGCTCCAGCCTCTGTACCGGAGTTTTTCCTGGAACGAAGGACACTTTCCCTTTGAGGTAGAAACATTTTCCTGGTAAGGCAGAGCTGGGTGCATGCACCCATGGAATCCTGGGTATCTATATGGCTTCCATTTCTTGATGCTCCTTTAGCAAACCCTTTCGTTATACTGGCTGGGTATCTCTAAGGCTGACTCCCCAAAGGCTATCAAATCCAGAAGCTTTTTAATGCTGACATGAGCACCATAAGTAGGAAATTCCATTCCATAAGATGTTCTTCCATGGCACACATTATTAAACAATTATAAATGTCTGGGGTGAGCCCCGTGGTAGAGTGCTTGCCTAGCATTTATAAGGATTTAGATTTGAGTGTATGCGACATAATGAACTTCATGTTTGGACTTGAATTTCATCTCTAAAGTGTATTATGTATTTTCAAATATCTTAAAATCAACATTAATCTGTAATCTAAAACACTTTTGTCTCAGGAAGTGTAGGTGAAGGCTATTCAAAATTGTACTCAACAGAAGAACCAATCATGTGGACTGGTGTCTGAGTTTCGATGATCCATATCGAATTAGGTTTTGCTTGGTCTGGGACTTACATGGTCAGGTACCTGAGTTGAATCCTCAGCAATCAAAAAAAAATTATAGTTTTCCTAATTTTATCCTTGAGAACATATGAAATCGTCTACATTCCCCAAATGCAACAGTTTCTTTACCACCACTACAGACACAAAATCTGTATACAGTTGAGTTACTTGGGTCAGTCAGCCAATTCTAGAAAACTCTACCAATGGATCTCATCACAGACATCTAAAACAGATCCGACCAGTTCATTCCAGATAAAAGCAGTCACACTAGCTGTTTATAGACATCTTTTTTAATGTTTTAGTTTAAAACAAATCATCTCAGTAAAAGAGCAAAGGAAATTACATTTTAACGATAGCTTGAAATGGGGATGATATTCCTGATTTAGTTGTTTTTCAGGAAACAGACAATTGCATTGTTTTTGTACATGACTTTTGGAACTGCTCAGTTAAATGCACATAATTATATCAAATTAAATTTTCCTTACAAAAACACAACCATATCATTTAAGGCAAAAAAAAAAAAATTCGGGTTCTGGGGAATTAGCATCTGTGATATTTCCTTGATCTGACTGGATGATCTGTTTGCCTGGGTTTCATCATTCTTTATAGTTTTCCTCTGGAAATGGGTATGATATTTAGTTAGTTTGTGCCTCAACTCCTCTGTTAGGCTGGTTTGATTTTCATATTAAGAACCTTCCAGGAAACAAAATAAAACAAAACAAAAAATCTGAGCCAATGGCAGGTCAGAAAGGCACCTAAGAACCCGAGTTAAGTACTTAGAAAACTCAATAAAGCTCTTAAATGAATTGAACTTGCCATCTACAGATATTAATTTGGTTCAACGAAATGCAAACATTTAGATTAGACATGGCAAAAATGTTTTAGGTAACCTCCTGGGTGGGGTGCTTGCTGTTAGATATGAGCTCCCCCGTTCATTGCAGAAGGCGGACAGACCTGAGCTGAGAAAACACAGGGTTACTACTCAGTGTGCTCAGCTGAATCGTGCTTCCCCACCCCCACTCTCTGGGGAGGAGCAGTGGGCCTCTGCTAAGTGTATATAGGGGAGCCCTCTCCTCTATTTCCCCAGAGCATGACATAATAGACATACCTCTGAAATGTACACACCCAAAACCTACCAACAGCCAGGAGATTTTGTGCTAGAATAAAAAGTAAGTGGTCATGGCTTCAATGTCTGGACATTATTATCAATGTCTTTTTTTTTTTCTTCACATTTTTGCTATGCTTAAGACCGTAGGGACACGTTTAGGCTTTTTCTCTGAATCTTCAGCCTTCAGCCATGTTAGATGAACTGTACTGTGTTTGAGACCCGAGGATGCCTAAGAAGGGGTCCTTGATACATTCACAATTCTTGCTGCCAGTGGAGTTCAACCTGAGACAGTATCAGTGCTGTCTTGAAGCTGTCAGCTCCCTCTTCTTCCTTAGCCGGTATTAGGAGTGAGCCTTATTCAGTGCCGGGCAGGTATCTCTGGCTTTTGCTCAATGAGGAGGGATGTGCCGTGTGTATACACATGTGTGTGTAATGTCCTTTGGAGAGTACATCATTCGGGTTGGTTGGAGACATAGGTAAATAAAAAACTGTATTAATAATTGAGTAGCATTCTGTTTGTAAAATGAAAAGAGTAGCGTTAAAGGCTTGAGAAGCATTTCAGTGGAGTGTAAAATTCAGACTTTATAGGTGTGTTCTCATAGGTCAGAAGCTCCTGAATGCTACACTCTAAGAGACCGTATTAGAGTCCAAGAAGGGTTTTGTCTCTTCTTATATATATATTTTTTTGTCTTATTTATTGAGACAGGGTCTCTCTGTCACCCTGGTTGACCTAGAACACACCTTGTAGAGCAAACTTGTAGCCTTGAACTCACAAAGATCCACCCGACTTTGCCTCTCAAATCCTGGGATTAGAGGTGGGTGCGACCACACCCTGCATGCGTCCTTGAGGGGTGAGAGAGGAAGACTTTAAATGACAATGTTACTTAAAGGTGGGGAAGCACATCGGAGAAAGAGAAGATTGGTTTGCCTAAGAGTGGAGGGCGACTTAAAGCCTGGTGAAGTTCTAAAGCAAAACTGTGGTGTGGAGTCACCAGTTAGGGGAAAAGAAAAGTAAGGGTGATTGTTCAGGGATGGCATTCTGCCGGCGGGGAGGCATGGTGGGAAGTGCTGATGGGTTTAATGACTTCCTTCGTTCCATCAACCACTTGACATCACTAGATTCTGCTCATTTGCCTTAGATGCGAAAAAGGTTGAAAAGGTTCCCCCCAGTACAAACAGGAAAAAAAAAACCTTCTTTCAGGAATCTTTTAGTTAAAGCTCAGATAATTTAAATGGCAGTTATAGATCTTTCCTAGTGCCTCCCCCCCAGTCTTGCTGTATGAGCCAGGCTAGCCTTGAACTCACGATCCTCTGTCTCAAGCTCCCATCTCCATGTTTACAGGTGTGGGGCTGAATTCTAACAAGCAGCCAGTACTGCTTGCCTTTGGGGAATTAACATTTTTAATAAATATTTTTTTTAATTGTTTTCTTCTCCATCGTAATGTATGACTGAGGAGTTCGGATCTGCAGACCTATCCAGTGCTATCTGGTTTGCAGTTATAAATGTTCATAACCTGGAAACTGAGCCGACAGTTTCACATTTGGGATAATATTGTTGGGGAAGAATAGAAAAATGTCCACTATAGTATAAAAGTAAAGGAAGTTTCATTTTAGCCTTTCATATGCAAAATGTGCTACATAATAGCAAAAGCCACTCAGGGCATATTAAAAATAAATAGCTTGCAAAAGTCTCTGTTATACAAGAATAAGGGGTGTTTAGGTAGTTGGATTTCCTAGCAATATTTACTTTTCTAAGAATACCTAGTTATTTGATTTGGGCTCCTCTCCTTCCCCATTGGGGGTGGGAGGCACTTCCTTTAATGTCACCCACTTGTGATAACTGTGGAGTCCTTCCAGGTTGTTTTCCCCCAACCTCAAGTAGGTAGTCCCTTCCCCAGGCCCTATGCCTGTATGTTTGCTAAACGGGAATTGCTAGTCACCCTGGCCATTTGAGGGGACAGGATAGGCAAACCTGTAGTTGGCTCTTCACAGAGAAACCATCCCAGTTGGACAGGCTGTTAAATCCACCAGTATTTCATATGCTTGTAAAGAGATTGACCATTTACAGAGCTGACTCCTCCATTAGAGACCATGCTGTCATGAAGTGGAAGATGCCAAAGGAAGAGGGAGTCTCCTCCCCTCCCCCACTGGCCCTCAATAATATTATCTGGCCATATTCTAATTGGAAAACATTCCCAGCATAAAAGACAACACGAAAACAATGTGCAAAATTGCTTGCCACAGCGCTAAGTCACCAGAAGCACACAGATTAACATTCAAATTACATTGACGAAATGACTTAGGAGGAACGGGTTGGCAAAGGTATCTTGAAATAAGCAGCCATTTCGGTTATATTCCAAATTCTGTTTTACTTGTGTTCTTAGCAGCTGTTGATAGCCATTGTGTCTAAACATACATTATGGCCTAATTTTGAAAATGTACTTTGTATCTAGTCATAAAGCAGAAATGCCTGAAATTTGAAGGCGTTTACTCTCACAATTTCAAAATACAGCGTCAACTCTTGCAATTGAACTAATATCCCGGCATCTTCACACATCCCATAGCATCAGCAGCGACTGTTGGCTCGGGATTTTAGACTCAAGGTACGTTATTAAATGCATGGGTTAATGTCGATGTACCTTGGAATTTCTGCCACCCCTAAACATGCATTTTCATGCAATTAAAAGATAACGGGCTTATAAATGGCCTTTCGCATTCTTCCTGACTCTTGGCGCGATTTCAACTCTTTAGAAGGGCTTCCAGAGTAGTTCATGCAGTGATATGTATGGCTAAAAGAACAGCTATGCTCAGAAAGGAAACAAAGAACTTAGTTCAGTTTGACGTGAGGCAAACTGAGGGCGTCTGTACTGTCTCCTGTTTTACAAATGTTCTGAGATGACCGTGACCTTCCAGTCCTTAGAGAATCTGATGAGAAAGCAGCTTCCCCCGCAGGCGGTGGGGTGCCATCAAAAGTATCTGTTTCTGTCTCCTCGGCACCGACCTCCTCATCAGTTATAAACAATTTGGATTCTCTCCACTTGGGATAAAAATCTTGGCTGCCTCGAGAGCCACTTGACTCGCTGCCTGAAAACTGTAAGTTCAGTTCTTCTGTCGATCTGATCAGGTTTTGTACAGACAGAGATTTGCCCAAGTCCTTGGGCACCATGGGGCGGACAGACAACAGAGTTTCCCCTCCCATGTCGAAACTTTTCCTCAGGGAACGGTCCTTGGTCAGGTTTGACTGTGCAAACTGAATGTTTTCCTTGGAGGCAACAAGGCAGGTGGTGACATCAGAAATACTCTCTTGTAAGCCAGTGGGGTTTGAGAGCAGAGGTTCTGGTCTGGACAGGTGCTTGATGGCTGAGAGAGGAGGTGGGATCTGTAAAGTTGTTGGGGCTGCTGGCTTGGGGGCGGCGCTTATTTGGTTTGCAATGTTATTGGTGGCCACCACGGAGGAGCCGTCGGTTTGACTCATTGGCACCTGTGTAGCTTGGCTGTGCATAGTAGGGCTAAGCGCATAGAAAGTCTGAGCACTGAACTCATTTGGCGTTAGGATGAACTGCAGGCCTCTTGAGATGTTGGCACTGGCTGACCTTGTTAAGCAGCCACTGTTTTGCGCAGAGCTAGACAGGTCTTTGCTATCCACAGGACTTTGATAGTCAGAGGTCTGTTCACATTCAAAAGGCGGGATCTGGAAGGATGCCAGAGTGAGGGCAGAGGCAGAGCCTTTCCGGAGGACCTGTTGGTAGATATCCAGCAGGCAGTCCAGCTTGGATTCGATGGACTGGACCTGGAAGTGGAGAGAATAATTTACACACCAGTACACATTCTTGTGAAGAACTGACTTGACATTTTGGTATTGAAAAGGTGAAATAATGCCGAGTGGTGGCGCTCGCCTTTAATCCCAGCACTTGGGAGGCAGAGGCAGGCGGATTTCTGAGTTCGAGGCCAGCCTGGTCTACAGAGTGAGTTCCAGGACAGCCAGGGCTACACAGAGAAACCCTGTCTCAAAAAGCCATAAATAAATAAATAAATAAATAAATAAATAAATAATAAAAAAGAAAGAAAGAAAGGAAGAAAGAAAGAAAGAAAAGGTGAAATAAGATTGTATTGACAGAGTAAAATAAATACTATGAAGACCACTCCAGTTCTAAGTCTTACTGAGTGTCACGCTGGCTGGTCGTGACAGTGCCAGAAAATGCAAATTTCCTTTGGTCATTTGTATGACCCTCTGTGTAACCTCCTCTTTTCTCTTTAAAACTTTAAAGAGGTTTTTTTTTTTTTTTTTATCTATCAAATAAGTACCACTGAAATGCAACCTCAAGATGATTTTTCAGTCAGTGAGATTTTCTTCCCATTACTGCTAGTGGATTTTAGTAAGAACGTAGTCTATCATGATTAGGAAACTTAAGGATCAATCAAATTTAAAGGGAAAACCAGGCTTGATGGTGTGCGTCTTTAATTCTAGCACTTGAAAGGCAAAAGCACATGGATCGCTAAGTGTTCAAGGCCTGCCTGGTCAGCGTAGTGATTTCCAGCCAGGGTATATAGTGAGACCTTGTCCCTCAAACCCTGAAATAAATAAACTAAATAAACTAAATAAAATGCTTTCGATGAATTCCATTGAGAAGAAGACTCTTTGAGAAGACACAGTCTCAGGGTTAACAAATAACCAATGTGCCAGGCAGTGGTGGCGCACGCCTTTAATCCCAGCACTTGGGAGGCAGAGGCAGGCGGATTTCTGAGTTCAAGGCCAGCCTGGTCTACAGAGTGAGTTTCAGGACAGCCAGGGCTATACAGAGAAACCCTGTCT